ATTATTAATCCTTTCTTTTATATATATATATATATATATATATATATTCTAAAATATGCTAATGACTATTTAAATGATATTAGGAAAATAGAAAATATGATTTGGGTGAAAATCTAGTATTAATTATGTTTAAAAGGTGTGAATTAGAGTTATATAAGTGCTATAGGTTGAAATTGGTCAAAGGGAAGTAAAAGGGGAAATTAACTCTATTTTTATTTTATTTTATTTTATTTGTGGTATACATGAAATAGAAAATACAATTTATTATACAAAGGATATGAAAAAATGGAAAATATAATGAACTAGAAGGGATTATGTGGGAATGTAAAATATTTATAATGAATGAATTATACTATAACCAAAAGCAGGGGAATGAAAATTTATTAAAATTATATAGGGAAATTTTGGAAACAAAGAAAAAATATGAAATGATTATATGAATATCTCTGGAATAGATATGAGATATATTGTAGATGGGGGTATATACTAAGTGGATCCTAAATGTATTAATCTTACTTTACTTTTACTCCTTTTTTCATTGACTGTCTAATTATATATTATTCTTGAGAAAGTTATAGATGATAACAATACATAAGGTAATATAAAATAGGTGGTAAGCTGAAAATGGAAATAATAGGGGATAAAGAATTGAAAATATATCTGAGGATGAAATGATTTTGATACTGAATTAATGAATTGAAATATGAAAGGGAAATTTATCTAAAGATTAGGCGAATGGATAATAATTTGAAGTGATATTAATTAAGAAAGTTGAAAGTGTAACTATAACTATGTATAAATATTGTAATCTGGAATCACATTGCTCACATGAAGAGATGTATAAAAAATACAAATAAAAAAACTTGGGGGGGGGGGCGAGAAAGAGAAGGTACAATCACAAGAGAGGATGGAGCTGTTTTCAAAGAAGCCTCATTCAGACACATGAGGGGAGTTTACTCTTCTCTTGACATCTCTTCCCCCTTTTCGTTGCTACATTAGTGATAAACCACTGTTTGCCTCATCTGGAAGCACAGAAGAGGGTTGACCTACAAGAGGAGCGTGGCAAGGAAGGTGGCAAGTGTGAGCAAGAAGCACACTCACTTTGATTCATGGCGCACCGGAATACTTGAGCAGAGCCACTGTTTTGGAGGAGGCTTAGTGCTGCTCAAAGCCACCAGACACCAGATAGAAGAGAACATCAGGACGGGCACTTTCTAACATAGTTCAAGAGAGGATTTTTATAGCTGGTGAAAGCCTGTGCTGTGCCTCTATATATACAAATCTATCAAGTCTCTGAAAGATAAAAAGCCAAACCACTGGCAGACTTATTGCTGGTCTCTATTAATTACCCTTGCTTAACCCTTTCGGCTTAGGGAGAAAATTCAAAACCTCACCTCTGGGTGGCAATCTGGTAGTAGGCCTCTCGGTTGCCAATGTTCCGGACAAGCAAGGTTTTCTGTGTATTGTACTTGACGGGAGATGTGGAGAAATTCAGTTGGTCTGGGAAATCCAAAATGCCTCTGGCACCAATTGCTCGGATAGGGACAATGAATTTTTCCCTCTCAGTAATGCAAGTTAATTCATGGAAATAATCCTGGGTAGAAAGAAGAATGGAAAAAATGAGAAATCTCTCCATGATCCTCCTAAGAGGTCTCTAGGAGGCGTGCATAAGCGCACCAACGTGCCTACCGTCCCTGTCCTATTGTTTCTTTTATTTTATTTTTATTTTTCTTATATGTATCCATGTATTCATAACTATGTTTTTACTTATACCTATTATCTTGTAAGAAATTGACAAAAATAAATAAATAAATAAATAAATTACCCTTACAGAGGAGATCAGAGCCCTTGCAGATAAGTAGTCCTCAACTTATGACTAGAATCTTGGACTTGACGAGTTTCTCAAAAGGAGAGATGAAAAATTTATAGAGCACAAAAGGCACTGTATAAATTAATACATTTGTGTGAAAAAGCACGGTTTGCAAGAATAGGGAAGCATGGACAATCTCCACAAACTCATGGAGAGTTTGAAATATCCAGCAATCTTCTTGCAATACAGATATTTACTGTAGATAAAGTCAATACAAATGCAAAGCCTGCCATTGAGCCTTGTTTAATAACCCATGGCATACATGTTAACTAAACCAAAACAATTATGCTAAACAAGATGGTCAAATCAGCTTCCGTCTATCTTCTCTTGTAAGACTAATTCTCTGTCATCTTGTTTGAAGGCAGAAGTGTCCAGAAGGGGAGAGGAAAGTAGGACAAGGTGAGGGAAGCATTCTTGTGAGCCAAGACTTGCCTCCTTGTATATGCATTACTTTCAGCATAACACTGCTTCCACCATCTTATCCTTATCTCTCCCTTTCCCTCCCTCCCTCCCACCCTCTTTCCCTCTCCCTCTCTCTCTCACACACACATATACACACACATGTTGTGTGTTTCACAGATTTGTATTTTAGTACTGCTAGGATTCATGCATTCAGTCTGCCAGTTTTCTAATCATTATGACAGAGAGAGTGAAAAGCGATATTGTGTCAACCTGTGAAACAGAAGGGGGTTGGCATATTTATAGAGAATGACTTTGTAGAACAACACATTAAAAAAGGATTGCCTTGTTTTCCTCAGGAGTGAAGAGAATGCGGAATGTGGATGGCATGCCAGGTGCGACTTTGTTGCACACATCATTGGGGCTGATGACTCTGAAGTAAGGTGAACTCTCACAAACAATCTTCACAAGCCGTGGGATCTGCAGGAAATGCAGGAATTAAAAGAAGCATTCAGTGAAAAGATTAAATCAAGACCACAAGAAAATAGTGGGACTTCTGTTTGGTAAATGGGGAGAGGGCTGGTGACAATAAAAATATTTAAACTCCCCATAGGTCAAGACATGAGGATGCGGTGGCTCAGTGGCTAAGACGCTGAGCTTATTGATCAGAAGGTCGGAGGTTCAAATCCCTAGCGCCGCGTAACCGAGTGAGCTCCCATTACTTGTCCCAGATTCTGCCAACCTCGCAGTTCAAAAGCACGTAAAAATGCAAATAGGGACCACTTTGGTGGGAAGGTAACAGTGATCCATGCGCCTTCTGTGTTTAGTCATGCCAGCCACATGACCACGGAGACGTCTTTGGACAGCGCTGGCTTTTTGGCTTTGAAACGGAGATGAGCACTGATCCCTAAAACTGGAAATGACTAGCATGTACAGGTGAAACTCGAAAAATTAGAATGTTCTACAAAAGTTCATTTATTTCAGTAATGCAACTTAAAAGGTGAAACTAATATATGAGATGGACTCATTGCATGCAAAGCAAGATAGTTCAAGCCGTGATTTGTCATAATTGTGATGATTATGGCTTACAGCTCATGAAAACCCCAAATCCACAATCTCAGAAAATTAGAATATTACATGCAATCCATAAAACAAGGATTGTACATAGAACAATACTGGACCTCTGAAAAGTATCAGCATGCATATTTACTCAGTACTTGGTTTGGGCCCCTTTTGCAGCAATTACTGCCTCAATGCGGCGTGGCATGGAAGCTATCAGCCTGTGGCACTGCTGAGGTGTTATGGAAGACCAGGATGCTTCAATAGTGGCCTTCAGCTGTTCTGCATTGTTTGGTCTCATGTCTCTCATCTTTCTCTTGGCAATGCCCCATAGATTCTCTTTGGGGTGCAGGTCAGGCGAGTTTGCTGGCCAATCAAGCACAGTAATCCCAGGGTCACTGAACTAGGTTTTGGTGCTTTTGGCAGTGTGGGCAGGCGCAAAGTCCTGCTGGAAAATGAAGTCAGCATCCCCATAAAGCTCATCTGTGGAAGGAAGCATGAAGCGCTCCAAAATCTCCTGATAGACAGCTGCGTTGACTCTGGACTTAATGAAGCACAGTGGACCAACACCAGCAGATGACATGGCTCTCCAAGTCAACACAGACTGTGGAAACTTCACACTGGACTTCAAGCATCTTGCGGTGTGTGCTCTCCATTCTTTCTCCAGACTCTGGGTTCTTGGTTTCCAAATGAGATGCAAAAGTTGCTCTCATCAGAAAAGAGGACTTTGGACCATTGAGCAACAGAACAGGTCTGTTTTTCTTTAGCCCAGGTAAGATGCTGCTGACGTTTGTTGTTCAGGAGCGGCTTGACAAGAGGAATACGACATTTGAAGCCCATGTCCAGGATCCGTCCGTGTGTGGTGGCTCTTGATGCACTGACTCCAGCCTCAGTCCACTCCTTGTGAAAGTCCCCAACACTTTTGAATGGCCTTTTCCTGACAATCCTCTCCAGGCTGCGGTCATCCCTGCTGCTTGTGCATCTTTTTCTTCCACACTTTTCTCTTCCACATAACTTTCTATTAATGTGCTTTGATACAGCACTTTGGGAACATCCAACTTCTTTTGCAATTACCTTTTGAGGCTTTCCCTCCTTATGGAGGGCATCAATGATGGTTTTCTGAACAACTCTCAGGTCAGCAGTCTTTCCCATGATTGTGATTCCTACTGAACCAGACTGAGAGACCATTTAAAGGCCCAGGAACCCTTTGCAGGTGTTATGGCTTAATTAGCTGATTAGTGTGGGACACTTTGAGCCTAGAATATTGAACCTTTTCACAATATTCTAATTTTCTGAGATTGTGGATTTGCGGTTTTCAAGAGCTGTAAGCCATAATCATCTCAATTATGACACATCACGGCTTGAACTATCTTGCTTTGCATGTAATGAGTCTATCTCATATATTAGGTTCACCTTTTCAGTTGCATTACTGAAATAAATGAACTTTTGCATGATATTCTAATTTTTCGAGTTTCACCTGTATGTGCAGGGGAACCTTTACCTTTAAGTCAAGACATAGCAAACAGGCATCTTTTAGTTTAGTTTAGTTTACTTTATTATCATTGCACCTCGTACAACAAAATTAAATACCATCTTCATTGTACATTATGACTATAAAAATAAACACAAAACACATTCTTCACATTCTATACATTGAATTGAAAACCCCTGATATTGCATTAATATTGCACTCTACAGTAGAATTCAACAGAGTTACTGCCCTGGGATAGAAGCTGTTTTTCAGCCTATTTGTCCTTGTTTTTATTGTCCTGTACTGTCTGCCAGATGGTTTTTAAAATTGGAAATAGACTTCTAAATATAAGGTTTATTCTCTTTTAGCATATTTTTAAAGATAAAAGAGTTAGTTTCAGATGAGATGGATGTATTTTTCCAGAAATCCAGAAAAATAACAAAAGACAAAATAATTACAAATTACATAATCTTAATATGCTGTGCAATTCTTTGCTTAGCTGAGAAAAAATCATGAGAAAAATAACAAGAATCAGAATAATTCTGCACTGCATTTTATTGATGTAAAGTAACTTACTACAAAACTGGAAGGAAACTAAATTGCTGTTGCCATTTGAAGGGTAGCAAAATTATTTTGGACTATTTGTGACTAAAAATATAACGGATGCAGAAGCTATATAATCTCATTATGATTGTTCAATTAGGTAAAAAATATACTAACTGTATTAACTGTTCTGATAAAAACGCATCCCCAACAGAATGTCTGAATATCTTAGGATCCCAAGAGTACATTCTGACAATTGAAGTAAAACCAGGAGGCTGAAGTTTAAAAATAAACAATACCATGAAACTCTACTTCACTCTCTCCATTTTTAAATAGTTCATTGAGAGTCAAGTTTTCTTCCAGAGAACAAAATTGGCAGTACAGAAATTTGCTTCCTTTTGAACCTTCTGCCCCTGCAGTTTCAAAATGGCAACTAGAAAGAATAGTTAAAATAATCTTGCTGGGATTTTTAAGAGTGAAGTGTTCAAAGTATGGATGAAGCCTTAAATTTTCATTAAGACTAGAAATCTTTCGATTCATGGAAGTAACAAAAATACAATAAAGAGATATTGTTATAGCTCATCTTTAAATAGGTTGCATTAAAGCAAATCTTTCTCTTGAAAAAGCTTATCCGGATGATTATCATTCCATAAGAAAAACTGTTATAACTCTTTGAAACCTAAGTTTTTCCTCCCATGACCCCCTCCCCCCACAAACCATATCCCAAGTCTGCTGATGAAGGCTACCTTGTCGTTGTTCCTCAGGATCAGTGGTACTTCGTAGAGCTCACAAGGGGCATAATTTTGAAAAACCACTTCTGATGGGAATGGTTGAAACAGAGTCCGATCCAGATCAACCGAGGAGAACTGAAGATGCAGAGCAATAGATGGAAATACTGGGGTTCCTTAGTGCAGTTACATTGCATCAATAACCATTACAGCAACTGGTAAAGAGCAGCTAACATTGGCAATAAGATCCATTAAATAGAGCAAAACAGTATAATTGACTGAAATGTGAGGTGTTTAAAACTTAGCCAGAGTTAATAACCCAGGGTACTCACAACTGCCTTTGTAAGTAAAGCTAAGCCTCGGGGCTCTCTCAACTCTGGCCATATGGGGGTCTGACAAATCTCTGGTGCTTTGAAGGGCCATGGCAAAGCCAGAAAGCTTTTCTCCCCAGGAAAGCTCTGACTACCAGATAGCCCAGAAGATTTTATAGATTCCAAGCTGCAGCCCTGCCCTCAGGCTTCGACTTATGTGATTGGTATATGTAGTTTTTCACACTTACCACTGTTGCAGCATCCCCACGGTTACATGGTTAATATTCAGATGCTTGGCAACTGGCATGGTTTCAATGTCTTGGAATCATGTGATTCCCTTTTGTGACTCTCTGACAAGCAAAGTCAATGGGGAAGCCAGATTCACTCAACAACCGTGTTCCTAACTTAAAAACTGCAGTGATTCACTGTGGCAAGAAAAGTTGAAAATGGAACAAAACGCATTTAACAACTGCATTGCTTAGCAATGGAAATTTTGAGCTGAATCGTGGTTGTAGGTGGAGGACTGCCTGTATTTGCTATTTGAATATCTCGTAGGAAAAAAATATCAGGCCCACCTCATGCTTTGCGGCTTCCCTGGCAAGCTTGTGCTCTACATGACCAAGGAAGAACCAATGGCTAGATGAATCAGTGGCCTAGTGTGGCTTCATTCTGTGGCAGAAAGAATTAGGGCTGATTCCCAGCTGCTGAGATTTGGCTGTAGTAGCCAAGGGGAGACTATTACGGTATTTCCTGGGCCACAGGGTGGGAGCAATCTGGGCTGGCTTCCTTTCAGTTAAATATGGTGAAGTGAAAGGCTCAGGAGCAAAGGGCCTGATACTCCATTAAAGGAGAACAAACGGCCACTGGTTTTATCATCACAAATTTATTTAAGAAACTAGGAGGGAATGGGTTTTAAGCAGAATATCAGTTAAATCAGAACAAATTTTATGCACTTTTAATTTGAATGTTATTTAGTTATTTAATTTATATTTCATATTTATTACTTTGATAAACAGCTCAAGGGAGTAAATATATCTAATACTCATTCCTCCTCCTAATTTTCCCATAACAATAACCTTATGGGGTTGGTTTGGCTGAGAGACAGTCATTGGCTCAAAGTCTAGGGGCTAGATCCTAAGGCAGTACTAGAACTCACGGTCTCCCAGTTTCTAACCTTAATCATTAGACTAAACTGGCTCTCCATTATAGTAATGTCAGGCATTTCATAAATGCATAAGGTGGCAGACAGAATACATCTGAGCATGCAACACATGGCATGCTTTATTCAGATGCATCTAAACTCTGCTAGCCAAAAATCAATCAAATTGAAGGTTGATTTTAATAAATTGGTATTGTGTGGGGTAAAGTGAAAAACAGCCTCATTTTGTTGTTATTTTTTGGATGGTTCCCATCAATAGGCACAACTCCAAGGATACCATTTTGAGACATGATCCCAGAGGCGCACATTTTCCACTCCTACTTCTTGGATGCCACATCAAATTTTGCCTTAGGATTTTTCAACCAATTCATATTACCTTTGGCATCTCTTCTTTTTTTAATATAAAAATATACAAGTATTTTTTAAGCTAATAAAATCCTGTGCCATATCTTTTCATACCCATGTATTGCAAGAAGCCCACAGGTCCTGCCCTAAAGTAAAAAAACAATACTTACTTTCTGGTGTGAGGTTTCACTCATGTCCAAAAGCTGAATTATGTGAGGCAAGTGTACTTCATGGGTGCTTGCCAGCCTTTGTTCTGTTGTGAGAGATATCTCTTTCAGAAAAGCCGAGGGTGTCAGCTGCAAAGAGAAGCAAAAGTGCATCAACACCTTCATCAAGATTGGCTCTTCCTGCTGTTCCTGTTCCATGAGATGTGTTTCCAACCTATTGTGGTAGAGTCCATGAAAAATGATTTCCCACTGAAATTCTTTTAAAAGACATAAATGCAGATCGTCCATTTCAATTATTGGAATTTTCATTTGTAATAACATTAATTTGCAGCTTTCTTCTATACTTCCCTATTTTCCTTAGGTTGAACAAAGCCATCTCTGAATTGAAATTGTGGAGAGGTTGCATTTTTGTGTTGCATTACCTTGATCGTCATTAGCTTTGATTTCTATGCAATGGGAGTCTGGGATACATTAAGCATTTCTAAGCATCCTGCAGCTCAACAAAGCTGACATTATGATGGTGCTGAATAAACAGTGGTTATAACCAGGCCTTGAAGTTCCATGCACCCTCCCCAGATGTCACTGCACTTCTCCCACCACTAACTGGTGCCATTTCCCTGACCTGTGCCTCTCATGTCTCCTTTGTACACTGCCCTCCCTCCCTGTGATTTCCTGCACACACACCCATACCCCCTTGCTCCTTCCCCCACTCAGCACCTGAAGCCTGGGAATCACAGCTTCCTGCTTGCTTCCCCACTGAGATGTGAGGTGTGAGAAGCTGGCAGGAAATTGCCTTGCTTAAGGACTATGAGATTCGGGTAATGGCAGCAGCAGGAGTGCAGGGATTGTTGTCACTAAGTGATGCCTTGTATAGTGATGGATATTCCAGTCCCAACTGACATCTTAAGACAAGGGCACTTCATTTCTTGGGTCCATTTCTATCATCCTCAATGAATTGGGTGCTGGATCTAAAAAATGCAAGTTTAGTCTCAGACTTCACCTGTTTTGGAATTGTATTTTTGGTTAAGCTATTTTTTTAGATTTAATTTTTTTATCCTTCATTATTTTCATAAATAACTCAAGGAGACAAACATATCCAACACACCTTTGTTCCCCCCCCCCCCAACAACCACCCTGTGAAGGCAGTTGGCCTCAGAGAGAGGCACTGGCCCAAAATCACCCAGGAGCTTTTATGCCTATGGTAAGACTAGAACTCACAGCTTCCTGGTGTCTGGCATGGTGCTTTATTAGACCAAACTGGCTCTCAGTTACTTTTGCTTATTGTTCCAGTTTGCTTTCTGGGAAATGAGTGTTTTCAGACACTGATGGGAAACCATCAAGAAATCCCAAGGTTGGTGACTAGACCAACCTTCACCATCAGCAAGGAAGTATGAAAACTCTCTAGTTGTCATACTTGCTATCAAATTTTTATAATTTACTGATTTTATTGTAATTGTATTGCTAATTGCTGCAAGTCACCCAAAGTTGTTGAGAGTCAGGTGATGTGCAAATTTAATACAGTGTTGTTCTACTGGGAAGTCAAAAACCAGCCAAGCAGAAGGCAGTGGTAAAATATTAATGTTATCAAGAAAACAACACAGTTAAGGCCATATAGTCAACAGGTGTGAAGGTCAACCCAAGGAAGTTGTCCTTTATCCGCATCCATCCCTAAAGGAACATACTGGAGCATCCTTCTTTTCCTCTGTAACCAACTTTGCATTTCGAGGTGCAACCACTTTGCTCTGAAATCCTTCTGGTAACTTCAAAGGAAGCAGAGATTTCCGGGCTCTATCAGTTAGCATCTTTGTCAGTCTCTGAAAAAAGAACAATAAGCTTCTTTAAAAGCTGGGAAGTATGCAAAGTATTATTTGGACTGTTAATGAGAGAAATAGATCCTCGAGGGAGTTTTAAAAAACCCTTGTCTTACGATCCGATTTCTAGCTTGGAAGTATTATTTTTTTCCTGGTAAACTCTGGCTCCTGTTTCAGCAACAAGGGAGCATCTCTTTCAGGTCCTTCCTTTGGGTCTGACGAGAGAAGCTCTCCGCTCCAGACTGAGGCCGCCTGGCAGAGGCCGCCGCCTTTGAACTGCGGCCGTTGCAAGGGTCACCCAAGCCGAGTGTCCCAAAAGGCCGTTTGCAGGCGGGGCACCCGGGCAGCTGGAACGGGGCAGATTTCGGGGAGGTTCCGGGTGGGATCGCCTGTCCCGCTTTCCTCCTCCTCGGAACGGGAAGGGCGGCGCGGAGGTTCCTGCGGGCGGAGTCTGCACTTCCTACTGACCTCCCCTCTCCTCCCCCGGGAGCAAAAGCCTTCAGAGGGTAATCCTGCATTTCAGGCTTCCAGGCTGTAAAAGAAACCAGGAGCGGGGGGGGGGGGGGGGGGGGAAGCCCAGCAGAAACCCGCCCGCTCGCCGCTCCGCCCACCGCTGGCTGAACCTTCCCCGGCGCCCCCGGCTGCGCTTCCCGCACGTCCGGCGGGCAGCCCAGGACTCACCAGGCGGACCGACGAAGCGATCGCCGAAACGCCCCCCGAGGGTCCCCGACGGCGGCTTCTCCGGGGCTCCGCTCCGGAGTACGCCGCGACGCTTCCGGCTCTAGGCCAACGGGGAGGCGTTGGAGGGGACGCAGGCCGGCAGAGCGCACCCACCCAACGTCCCGAAGCCCGGCACTCGACTCCGCAACGCCGAAGGGCCCGCACGTCGCCTGTTGCTCCAGCAACGCGCTGCCGCGTCGCTATGGCAACAGTCGCACGCCCCGCCTCCGAGAGACGCCTGGAAGTACCTCGCGCGTGCGGCCCCGCGGCGGTCTCGTGTGCGCGCCCCGCCCTCCTCAGTCCGCCTGGACGGCTCCTCAAGGCCAGCAGGCGAGCCAGAGTTGAGAGCGTCGGTGAGTTTAGCCGCCTCTCCTGCGGGAAGCCGCGTCACCGCTATCGCGGTCTGGCGGAGCAGCCTCAGCTCTGCGACTGACTCGCGACTGACTCAGTGACTCCATCCCCACCCTTTTTTTAAAACAGGGGTCTCCAACCTTAGCAACTTTAAGACTTGTGGACTACAACTCCCAGAATTTCTCAGCCAGTATGTGCTGCTGGGGAATCCTGGGAGTTGAAGTCCACATGTCTTTGCAGCCCTTTCTCGATAGAAGGACCCTGTGAACTTCGCACTTCTCACCTACATCGCAGAGTGCTCGAGTCACTGCATCTTTGGCTTTGGCATAACATAATTGTGGTCCATCTTCAGTTGCTGGTTTTGCTTGGTGAGATTTCCAGCCTCTCTGATTTTGGTGAAGCATTCAGTTTGCAAGACTCTGGTTATGGTAGAAAAGCTGTCAAAATGTGGGCTGTTCTATAGCATCATTAGAAGAGTACAGTTAGGGGTCCTTGGTCCTCCCTGAACTCTGCTGTTGTTATGCAGAGGTTTTATTACTCAAGCTAGGTAACCTCATCAGTGCTAGAATACATGAGAATAGTTAGCTGAATAATTGGAGTTGAATAATTGGAGCCTGTGTGTATTGACAAGTCCATTTCAAGATTGAAGGGAAGTAGTGAGTAGAACAGAGGTCATCAAACGGTGGTCTGCAAGAAAATGTTGGTGGTCCACAGAGCACCTGGGTGGAGGAGCTGCTCCAGAATGACCAATGGGCCAGTCCTGTGACTAGAGCTCTGGAATATGGGACCGGCCAGGCAGCTCATGGTGGGGCTGGAAGTCTCTGCTATAGAAAGTGCTACATGCAACTTGCAACTTTGCAGGTGGTACAATGTGCAAGGAGTAGCGAAGACCTTGCTGGCCGGAACGAGGTAGTAGTGCTGTTGCGGCAAGGGGGTGGTGCAGGTGGGCCGAAGCAACGGATGTTGGCAACCCGTGACTCTTTCGTCCCCCTGCTGTGGCTCCCTGTTAGCTGGCCCTGCCCCTCGTCCTCCCCGCCACTCCTTGTGGGTCTGAGAAGGTAAGGGTGGGGGATGGAGATTCACTCCATAGTCCAGAGCAGGAGCAAAGCGCCATTGTACTTCCTTCATCTCTTGCTGGATTTCACAGGCATTTCTTCCAGCCCTTTTTGGTGCTCAGGGAGACACACAATTTCCTCTCTGGCCGTTTCGCTTCACCGCTGTTGTTGCCACTTCCATGGCCTGCCCACTGCTCTTGCAGCGCCTTGTGCAGCACAGTTAAATTTAGCACGCTTCTCAATGGTGGAGACGGCATCCCCTCCTCCTCCTGGAGCCCATTACGATGCAGCGCATTGGCCGCAGTTGGGTCGGGCGAGTATCTCAGGGTGGAGAGCAGGTCGTGTGTCTCCCTGAGTGACCGAGGTGTGTCCAGCATCAACAAAAGCTGAAGAATCACCCTTGAGACCTAGAGAGCACCAGAGAATCAGAATGAGAGAGAGCGGGAGATCAGAGAGACAGACAGAGAAAGAGACAGAGAGAGATGAGAGAGAGACAGAGAGTGGGGGAGAGGGAGGGAGAGACAGAGACACCTGTTTCCCATAGAAAACACTTGGAGCCACAAAACCTGGGTAGGCATGGCTGGGGGGTCATGTAACTGGGTGGGAGTGAGTGACGTCGAGTTGCCTGAAGGACCCCATCCTGTCACTGGGTGTTCAGGTGCTTCGTCAAGCAGCACGCTGGATTCATATTAGTGGTCCGCAGAATTTAAAAATATGGATTTAGTTGTCCCTGAGGTCTGAAAGGTTGGTGACCTCTGGAGTAGAGCATTACAGGCCTCTAAATTGGATGTTTTTTTTTATTTATAATCCAAAATCAATATTTAAGAACACATATAATAAATTAAGTTAAATAAAATTAAACGTTTACAGAAAATTCTGAAGCAGTTATTAAGAGTAAGGAAAGCTCAGAGTGATTTCTCCAAACCATGATTGTTTTTTAAATTTCAGCAATCTAAACAAACCCATTGCTGGCTGAGGAATTCTGGGAGTTGAAGTCTTAAAGTTCCCAACGTTGGAACCCCCTGCACTGGGACAATGCTGGCCCACGTGCCCCTTAGGGAACCCCCACCTAGCCCCCTCCGCGGGTGGGAGGGTGTGTGCCCCAGGATCCGCCCCCGCCCTTCGCAGCCAAAGGAAAAGCAGCCGCAGCCGCGCAGGCGCACGGGCCGCTGAAAGGCTCGGAAGGCGCCATGGCTGACCCCTACGCGCCGGTGGAGGCCGCGCTCGGCCCCGACGAGAACTTCCTTTCGCTGGCCGACATCCTTATGTCGCAGGAGCGGCTGCCGTGCCGTGCCGAGGTCGCCTGGCCTCGTTTGGCTGCCTTCCTAGCCAGGGCCGACGCGGCCGCTGCGCCCGGCAAGGCGCTCCCGGAGGTGAGGGCCACTCCGCGCCGCTGCGGACTCAGGCGCTCGGCGGCCGCGCGGCGGAAGTAGCGTCTGCCCGGGAGGGGGGAACTCTCGGCGGCTTCCTTTAGACGGGCGGTGGCGGGTCTGGGCGGCCGGGCGGTTGGATTGGAGTCGGCGGCGCTTAAGGCCAGGCCAGGCCGCGCCTGTGTCCAGCTGGCAGCCTCGCTGGCGGGCCGAGTCCGGGGAAGGACTGCCCGCCCATGCCAAGGAAGCGGAGTGCTGGCATTGCGGTCCCCGCGCTCAGAAGTTCGCGTCCCTCCCTTAACTGGAGAGCCCGTGCGGGGGGCGGGCGAGGGGCTTTCGAAGCCCTTCTTGGCGTGGTAGGTTTCCCGTGGGGGCGCTTTCACTTTGGCTGAACGAGGCCCGCCCCACCGCAGAAATGCACAATGAGTCTGCTGTCTCCGCGACTTCGTCACCGCTTCTTTCCTTTGCAAGAGCAGTCACGGTTGCCTCCTGGATAGCGTTTAAAGTGGGAAATCCGGCTGCTGCAGATGTCTCGCGCTTGGGTGACCTCCATTGAATTACTACTTACAGGGCTACTCGGAGCAGCATTGGGAATGTTCAGTTATATCCTTTTGTATTCTCCCTTTTTTTGTATTCTGTCCCATTATGCAGGGTTCAAAGTTGGAAATCCCTCTCTGGTTGGCCAAAGGCTTGTATGACAAGCGGAGGATTCTTTCTGTGGAGCTACCAAAGGTGTACAAGGAGAGCTGGCGGACAGTGTTTAATGCGGATGCCAGTGTGGTTGACCTGCATAAATTGGGGCCATATTACTATGGATTTGGGTCCCAGTTACTCAATTTTGACAATCCTGAAAATACTGAATTAGCTCAGTCCATACTACAGGTAAAAGATCTGCTTCTTACAGCTTATAATTCTTCATTATTATTTGAAACTTGTTATAGCCACCCATTCCAGTAGACTCTGTTTACCTTGTAAATAAAACCGTTTAAAACAAACCGTACCAAAAGCAACTCAGACTATGAGAGTCATGACAGTAACAAACCAGACCAGAGCCCTGAAGAATACATGATTGTAACCCTAGACCTGATGACAAAGCTAGTATGTAAGGGCTTTTTGGAACCCCATGAGAGAGGGCATTGTGTATTTTTTAAAGTAGGCTGTTCCAGAGAGTAGGAGCTATGAGAGGGAAGGCATGCTTGTTAGTGTTTGGGGATTAACCCCTAGCAGAGTATTGCAGCAGTAGTCAAGCCAGGCAGCCAAACGAGAGCGGAAGGGCCCCAGAGTATACACACACTGAACACAAACACTGTTTGTAGTTTAAATAGTTTTTAATCCATTTAGATTTTAAAGCATTGTCATTCAGTCCAATAGTCATTCACTATATTTCCATCCAGTAAGACTCACTATTACAGTCCAAGTTAAGAGTCTTTGCAATATCTTTATCAGCCGATAAAGATATCTTCTCCTCCTCAGGTGCCTCTCTCCAGAGGAACAAACGCTGGATATTCAGCAAGAAGTTCAAACAGTATAACAGTAGAATTACGCAGTAAATCAGCAAACAGTAGCAAACAAGAACAGTTCAGTCACAGGCACTCACAATTAGTCGCAGTAAGACACAGTTAGTCGCAGTAAGCTTTCCAGCTTCTAATGCTTCCTTATATTGTAACTTCTAACCGCACCCTTAATCGGCTAATTGCCTGCAGCATTGTGCTTAAAGTGATAAGCACTTAAACCATGATATCTAAGTTTTATATATTTATTCACCCAAACCATATTTGGTATCAATGTTATACCTAACATACTCCCC